GGAACTGACAAGACAGGACTGAGGAGCTGTTCTGAAGTCTCACTAGCAGTGGTGTGTAGTGTGTGGAAGGCCAGATGGAGCCAGGGCTCTGCTGTGAGCTGCTGTCTGGGCCACTCTGGTATCTGGGGTTCCAGCTAGCATCACTCTCTTCCCAACATGCAGCCTGTGTTTCTTGAGGAAACATCCCTGCTTTGGTTCACCAAAGCAGTTCATTTCTAGAGTTCTGAAAACATTGATTCTGACAATTTTTGTACAAAGGCAATGGTTTTCTTGTTTTTATGGAGGAGAGAGTTTTCCTCCATTTTCATTAAAATCACTTGACAACATCTTTTTAAACAGTTGGTTACTTTATATAAGTAAACTATGTTTCTGGCAAAAATGAAATTTGGTGAACCAAAATTAATAAATAAAATGATCAGTTCCTGTGTTTTATATATCAATTTATAATAAAACACATGTATGTACAAAATTGGACATGTGTACATGTACACATATATTTTTATATATGATATGGTTTCTTTTTATAATTTACTTTCCTTAGTAATATATTTTTGCCATTCAGTAACACATGTTATTTTTCAGTGCTGGGGATTGAACCCAGGGCCTGACACATGTTAGGCAAGCTCTCTACCACTTGAGCCATGCTTTCCACCCTTTTGGATTTTTTTTTTTTTTTTTTTGTATTTTGTTTTTGAGATAGGGTCTCTGTAACTTTGCCCAGGCTGGCCTCAAACTCTCGAACCTCTTGCCTCTACCTCTCAAGTAGCTGGATTATAGACATGTACCACTACACCTGGCTGTACTGCCACTTTTAATTGATATAAAACACTCAGATGGAACAGACAATCTGTGATTTAACGAACTACTCTCTTACTGGATGTTTAGGTTATGTGATTTCTTTCATAAATAAGAGTAGGAAAAGCATCCTTTGATGTGGTTTTTTATGTTGTTGTCCCATTTGTGTAGGAGACAGACTCCTAGAAGTGGGATTTCTGAATCAAGGGGTAGGCAGAAGACTCCATGTTTGGGAACTCTGGGGGAAAGGACCTGGCTTCCTAAGAGCCCCAGGGACAGGAAGCCTGAGCTTTTACTTCCTGCTCAGTCAGTGTTAGGATGCTCTGGGAATTCATGCTTCTTCAGATTAATTTAATCAGTTGGACATAAGGAGCACTCAAATTCATGAAGTTTTCATTGTAAGCTGTTTTTCTGGAAATTTCCTTTTTTAACTTTTAAGGAACAAAATCTGGTAACCTCTGGGTACCGTGGTGAGGACTTTCTGTGAGGACGCCCCAGAAGTTCTCACTGTGGCCCTGCTGTGTGCCCTCACTGTGGTGCTAGAGGCTGGACTGGTCACAGGTGAGAACCGCTAGCACACGTTCCTATGGAACAAGTCTTCCCTCACTCACATCTAGAAATCTCCTATGAAAGGCTCTTTCTCTCAGTTAAGAACAAATGCAATTGAAGGTTTGTAATGAAAATCCTGGGACATTTGCAGTAGGCTTAAGGACTCACTTTATCACCAGTTAAAAAGATTAAACCACATTTGGTAGAGTTTTATGGCTGAGCACTTTGTAGTTCTTGGGAAATGGCATTCTTTCTTCTGCCATGTATGAGCCCCTTGACCACCATGGAGACTTTGTCCCGAGACCTTTGGGACTTCCTGAGTTCATGAATGTCACCACAGCTTTCAATTTCCCTCCTAACATTCATAAAGACCAACTGAAAAACACATTGGATCCCTCCAGGCTCGTCCTGATTCTATAAATACAGGACAGCAGTCATTTTTTTAAATTTTATTATTCATATGTGCATACAAGGCTTGGGTCATTTCTCCCCCCTGCCCCCACCCCCTCCCTTACCACCCACTCCGCCCCCTCCCTCTCCCCCATACCTCCTCGATACCCAGCAGAAACTATTTTGCCGCTTATTTCTAATTTTTGTTGTAAGAGAGTATAGCTAATAGGAAGGAACAAGGGTTTTGCTGGTTGAGATAAGGAATAGCTATACAGGTTGACTCACATTGATTTCCTGTGCGTGTGTGTTGCCTTCTAGGTTAATTCTTTTTGATCTCACCTTTTCTCTTATTCCTGTCCCTTTTCCTATTGCCTCAGTTGCTTTTAAGGTTATCTGCTTTAGTTTCTCTGCATTAGGGCAACAAATGCTAGCTAATTTTTTAGGTGTCTTACCTATCCTCATCCCTCCCTTGTGTGCTCTCGCTTTTATCATGTGCTCAAGTCCAATCCCATTGTTGTGTTTGCATTCCCATTTTGTGGTTTGCCCTGATGCTAATGTCCGAACATCAGTGAGGGAGAACATAGCGATTTTTGGTCTTTGGGCCAGGCAACCTCACTCAGAATGATGTTCTCCAATTCCATCCATTTACCAGCGAATGATAACATTTCATTCTTCTTCATGGCTGCATAAAATTCCATTGTGTATGGATACCACATTTCTTAATCCATTCGTCAGTGGTGGGGCATCTTGGCTGTTTTCCATAACTTGGCTATTGTGAATAGTGCTGCAATAAACATGGGTGTGCAGGTGCCTCTGGCGTCCACAGTCTTTTGGGGTATATCCCAAGAGTGGTATTGCTGGATCAAATGGTAGTCAATGTTTAGCTTTTTAAGTAGCCTCCAAATTTTTTTCCAGAGTGGTTGTACTAGTCTACATTCCCACCACAGTGTAAGAGGTCCTTTTTCCCCACATCCTCGCCAACACCCTGTTTGGTGGTGTTTGCTGATGATGGCTATTCTAACAGGGGTGAGGTGGAATCTTAGTGTGGTTTTAATTTGCATTCCTTTATTGCTAGAGATGGGAGCATTTTTCATGTGTTTTTGGCCATTTGAATTTCTTCTTTTGAGAAAGTTCTGTTTAGTTCCTTGCCCATTTCTTTATTGGTTCATTAGTTTTGGGAGAATTTAGTTTTTTAAGTTCCCTATATATTCTGGTTATCAGTCCTTTGTCTGATGTGTAGCTGGCAAATATTTTCTCCCACTCTGTGGGTGTTCTCTTCAGTTTAGAGACCATTTCTTTGATGAACAGAAGCTTTTTAGTTTATGAAGTCCCATTATCTATGCTATATCTTAGTTGCTGTGCTGCTGGGATTCCATTTGAGAAGTTCTTACCTATACCTACTAACTCCAGAGTATTTCCTACTCTTCCCTGTATCACTTTAGAGTTTGTGGTTGATATTAAGATCCTTGATCCATTTTGAGTTAATCTTGGTATAGGGTGATATACATGGATCTAGTTTCAGTTTTTTGCAGACTGCTAACCAGTTTTCCCAGCAGTTTTTGTTGAAGAGGCTGCTTTTTCTCCATCGTATATTTTTAGCTCCTTTGTCAAAGACAAGTTGGTTATAGTTGTGTGGCTTCATATCTGGGTCCTCTATTCTGTTCCACTGGTCTTCATGTCTGTTTTTGTGCCAGTACCATGCTGTTTTTATTGTTATTGCTTTGTAATATAGTTTAAAGTCGGGTATTGTGATACCTCCAGCATTGTTCTGTTGACTGAGTATTGCCTTGGCTATTTGTGGCCTCTTGTGTTTCCATATAAATTTCACGGTAGATTTTTCAATCTCTTTAATGAATGTCATTGGAATTTTGATGGGAATTGCATTAAACCTGTAGATTACTTTTGGGAGTATCGACAGTTTTACTATGTTGATTCTACCAATCCATGAGCATGGGATGCAGTCATTTCTAAAGCTATTAAGACAAATTTGGGCTGAAGTCCTTGCCGAAATGATTGCAGTCATTCTTTTTCTTTCTGAGGCACACAACTAACAAGTGTACACTAGAAATTCAAGTTTTAGCTGAGTTCCACTTTCATATCTTACTTTATTCTGAATTTCTGTGAAACAGAGTTGGACATTTTCCTTGCTGTCTATCCCCACTGCAGAATGGGAGTTGGCTTTTGGGAGCCATTTTTCTGAAAAGATCAGGTTCATCTCCATCTGTGGAAGTGACCATGCTGGATGGTGACTTGGCCCTCAGGATTCAGAGCTATGCTCTAGTAATACTGCAAAGCCACCACCTACACTGTGCATGAGCTGTCAGAGTTTCTTGCAAGTGGCCAGCATGTGTGTGCTGGGGGCAGGTGGGGGCTCTGCTACTTAGAAGCTCAACTGAGCAGAACGACAGTGCTTCCTGGCACACTGATGCACCTGACGAATGACCCTCTCTCTGTGTCAGTGCACGCAGCGAACACCATTTGTGCTCATGAGTAAATACATGCTATGGCCTAAGAGCCTTCTCATGTCCCTATTTCACTCGGATGACTTGGGACTTGTGGAAACTCCAAAACAAAACTCAGCCCGGCAGACCGTGAACCAGCCGGGCCTGTCATTCACTCACTGATGTCACTGAGAATGAACTGTCTCTCAGTGAACAGGGAGAGTGGCTGTCATTGAGGTTAAGGTCCAGTGGAGGAGACAGGTGACAAAACAGCCAGTGGAGAAAGATGTCATTTAAGAGAGAAAGTAAAACAGGGCTGCGTGATGATAATAGAGGCTCTGTTTCAGCTGTGCTGTTCAGGGGGCGGCCAGCCCTGGGTGGTGCTGGCAGAGCAGGGATTAGGTAGAGGAAAGAGATGGTGTGAAAACCCTGAGGTGGGACTTTCTAGGATGAAAAGGCCAGAGGTGGAATGTGGTGAGGTGCAGTGGATGGTCAGTACTGCATGGGGATGGGGATGAAGCTGTCCAAAGTCGGATGCTTTTGAAAGAAGAAATGAGTGCTGTGAATAATACCCTGACACACAGGTGTCAACCAGGATTGTTCCCGGAAACCCTGCACGTATGACCCATCTCCCATGGAGCATGTGGCTCAGTGAACCAGCATGGTAGATTTTGTCCTTGCACTGCACACGGATCCCCTGGAAAGTACACACAGGGCTTCCAGCTCCAGCTCCTGTTCCCCTGGGAGGCTGCATTACAAGCCAGGACTCTTTGAAGGCCTGGTGTCTCTGACCCCTTGTGTCCTCTTCCCCTTGTGGTCTTTTAGGAACACTTCCGAGGAAATGCAAGAAGGAGCTGCTGGCAGTGAAGCTGAGGAACCGGCCAAGCAAGCAGGAGCTGGAGGACAGGAACATCTTCCCCAGGAGGACAGACGAGGAGCGGCAGGAGATTCGGCAGCAGATCGAGATGAAGCTCTCCAAGTGAGTGCTGCCCTCGGACATACACAGGGCTGTGCCTGGCCTCATGGTCTGTGCCCTCTGAGGTCCCATCTCCTCCTTGTGCTGGGTGGGGGCTCCCAAAGGCAGAGTCTCAGCAGGACCCTAGCCCTTGGCGTTAGTGTTGGGGGCAGACGGTTCTGCTGTGGGAACTGCCCTGCACACTATAGGGGGCAGTGGTCTCCACATGTGGCATTCCCCATGATGATCCAAACTGTGCCCAAACATTGCCAAATACCCCCTGAGGGGCAAACCAGTCCCCAGGGGAAGCACTGGACACTGGTCTGTCAGAGCCGAAGGAAATGCATCAAGAAGCAAGGGTCACAACTGGGAGGGATGAGGCCAAAATGGTGAGGACATGCCATGCCAGGGCTAGGGATGGGGGTGTCCCAATTCACCCCCACTTGATCGTTTTTCCCCTAAGGATGTGGAACCAGAATTGCAAGATAATCTAAGTTTTTCAAGGAAAGTCTTTCTCTCTCTCTCTCTTACACACACACACACACACACACACACACACACACACACACTTTTTCAAACAGTGTATGCACCAAGTCAGCCATTTCTCTGTGGCCCAGATCCACAAGTGAGCACCTTCTGGTGCCCCCCAGGGAGACAGACTGTGTTAGGGGTCATGGCAGAGGGAGCTCCTTGGTCCTTGTGGCTGAGGTCTGTTGAGATCCATCTTGTGCCCTGTGACAGTGCATTTCCCAAGGCAAGGCTGCCAGTGAGTGAGGACAGGATTGTGAAAATGTGGTGGCTCCCAAGAGCTGGCTGCCTCCTGAAGTTGCTTCCCGTGTACCGGAGCCACTGGGGTTCAGAGCACTTGGTGCTTGCTCCATGTCACAGTCCCCACTTGTGGACACTGCCCAAGGCCAGTCCACAGCAGCTGAGCGGGCAATGGAGGCTGTCAGAGGAAAGTCAAGACCTTCCAGCAGTCGAGCTGATGGCATCCCCACATGGGCCAGAGGGCGAGGAAGGTCCCTTTGGAACTTCTGTGCGTAGTTACAGTGGGGTGCTGGGCTCTCCCCTTGCTGACAATAAGCCTGTGCACATGGAGCTTGGTGCCCTGGACACCCTGGCCTATCCCTTCCCCCTTAAATCCCAGGGCTGGGAGAAAGGGGTGCTAGACCTTCTCAGATGGCACTGCTGTCTCCGCCCCCCTTGACCTGCCCTCAGTCAAGACTTCCCATTGTCCCCTGAACATAGGTTCTGATGTGGCAGGATGACATGGCCCGATGGCCTGCACTTCTAACAAGGTCTGGGTGCTGATGCTGTTGATCTGGGGATCACACTTTGAGAAGTGAGGGTTGCAGGCCACTTTCTCCGCTGTGGCACTATTGACATTCTCTGTGGCAGACTAACCTGTGCAGTGCAGCAGTCCAGTAGCATTCCCTGGATCCTGCTAGACATCAGTAGAACAAAACGTCTCCAGAGACTGCCCAGGGTCCCTTAGGGTGAGAGGACAGGACTGCCCCAGGAGAGAAGCCCTGGTGTAAAGTGGCTGCAGGCTTCTTCCCCAGGCAGCCCTTCCTGTGCCTGAGGTGCAGGGCTCCTTGTTTCTAGTTGGCCCTTGTTTCTGCTCTGTGCTGGGAACTGGGGCCCCGATGTTTCCTTTGCAGAAGCAGAATCTTTTCCTTGACTTTGTTCACAATGGAGGGCAGGAAATGTGAGTGGGTGAAGCCTGGATGCTCTGGTGCCATGACCATGCATGACATTGAGTGTCTTGTGTTTTGGGTGTCAGTTTTCTCACCTGGAGAATGGGGGCTACTGTTGTCTGCTCACTGCAGAGAGCTCTGGTCAATATGGTGCCGGTCTCCTGCAGCCTGTTGAGGTCCTGACAGGCTGGAGCGTGAAGGGTCTTTGGAATCACTCAGACCCAGGTTTCAGCCCAGCTCTGTTCAGCTGGATCCCTCCCCCACATCTCAGCTTTCTCATCCATAAAGTGGGATGGCACTTTCCAGGCAACTGTGAATTTTGCAGGACACCTTATAGGAAAAGGGCATTGCACACATAGCAGGCACTCAGTCCAGGCAGCGGTCACTGTTCTGGCTGGTGAAGCCAGAGGGTCGTGTCTGCTCAGCCAGTCTTCTGTACCTGTCCTAAGTGGCCTGGGACACAGCTCCATGGTCAAGGTCTCTGTGTCAGCAGTGGCTCTCAGACCCCAGAGCAGTGTTCCCTATGGAGTTGCTCTCAAAAGTTAGAAGATGTGCCCTACCCAGCCCATGACATAGCCCTTCAGGAGAGGACACATGCACATTCAGCAATTCTCTAATTCTGAGGGTCCTGGGAACCCTCAATGGACTTGTCTGCCTGGTGGGAGTAAGGTTTTCCAGACTCATCATGGTTTATCCATCGCACCCTGTCTGGTCATCCCTCAGGAGGGGAACTGTGTGCCAAGGCATACCTGTGCCCCTTTGCCAGGCAATGCCAAATTTTTGCACTGTTTCCTTCTTTACCGAATCTGTATACAACCTGCTACCTGACCTGTGTCATCCCTCTGTGGCTTCAGAGAGCTTTTCTGCAGTGCTGGCAATGAGCTCGAGACCTCATAGGTTGAGTTTCCATTCCTCTTGCTCCTCGGGAGATCTTACACTTCCCAGTGTGTCAGCTTTGCCTGGAGTTTTCTTTACTGACTTCAGGAGCTCAGTGTTGAAGCTGGGCTTCTCTCCCTTCCCAAGTGTCAGGCACACAGTCCTCTTCAGCTGTACAAAGGCCCTTCCTCTTGCACTGGGGTCACATCAGGATGAAATGGTGTGAGGTACACCAGGGAGGCATCTCAGCTTAGCCACACGGTACAGTGTGGAGGGTGGGCTGCTTCTCTTTGTGCTCATGCCCATGGGCTGATGGGGTCACCTCATGGGACCAGAGGGTGTCCTTTCACATATCAACCTGGGAAAAAGGCAAAATTCAGAACTCGATGTAGGGTTTCTACTTGAGAATGGCATTGCTTTCACAGGATCGTAATGTCAAAAAATTGTAAGTTGAACTGTCATATGTTGTGAACTGTATTTCCTTTTTTCAATGCTTTTCTTTGATGTATGGAAGTTTTGATTTTTAGGGTTATCAGGCTATCAGCCGTACACTAGAGGAGGCAGCACACCTTTTCTTTGGAGAAATGCGAGTGTTAATCACCATAAGATAACAGAGAAGTGGTGAACGCTTTCTGCTGTGTTGGCCTTACTGTTTCTGGCGCACCTACTTAGTTTGACCACTGTATCTCTGAAGGAGCCACAGGAAGTATGCAAATGAATGGCCAAGGCCATGTATCAATAAAACTTTATTTATAAAAACAGCACACGGTCCACAGGACAAACTCTGCTGATGGAATTTAGGACTCATCCTATTTTGTCATGTTTGAAAGTCCTTCCCAGCGGGATGCAAAAGAATTCTGTTTACTCACTATAGGATCCACACTTGCCTTCTAACTGTCTAACTGTGCTTTTCTATTTGATAATGGAACCAAGTTCTCTTTCAAATTGAAACAGTAAATGGAGTATTTAAACAACAAAAAAGTTAATTAAATGATAATAGCACTTGTGCTTCAAAAACACCACAGAAGTTACCAGGGTGGTGGGGACAATGAAAGTTGGGCCAGCTGCCTGTGTATGCTGACAGGTTGGAAGAAGGGCCCTGTTGAGGAGGTGCCAAAAACACAGGCCCTGGGGCTAGGTTTACCCATTACTCACCTGTCTGTGACTAATTTTAGACCTTGGAGAAGAACTCAGTGGCTCCTGGATATTTGTCACCATGTTTGAAAACTAAAAACAGTCCCAGAATCGTACACAGAGAAAGCAGCTATTGAGAAGTCACTCTGGGGAGGTCAGATGGTGGCCTGGTGTGTTTTCCCTACAGGGGCAGTCTATTTGGGTCCCTTTGTCTGTGCTTTGCCTCCTCTCAGAACTCCTTTCACCATCTCTTGCTGAATAATTCAGCCTCTGGTTGCCATGGCAATGTGCCATCTACCGTATCCCAAAGAGCATTTGGTGAGTTCATTGTATTTTATTTTTTTTATTTCCAGACACTTAATATTTTACCATCTGAGTGCTCTCAGGGCTTTTCTGAGGTGGTCACTCCCTATCCCTGCCCCCCGCCATGACATACCCTGTGTGCTTGGTCTGGTATACAGTGAGTTGGGGTCAGTGTCGTTGATGTGAAGGTCTTCGATGATCCTCACTCTCCCCGCCTACACGGGAGCTCAGCTTGTCTCTAGATCGTGAGAGTGGCTGGGCAGAGTAAAGACCTGCAGCCCTGTGTTTCACAGCGTGTGTTCTGGGACACGCACAGCCCTATCCTGACTACACGCCTCCTAAGGACAGCTGGCAACAAGGAGGCCACTGGCAGTTGTCACTTTTTATGTTTGTTTTCTGAGGCAAGGTCTCGCTCAGTATCCCAAGTTAGCATTGAACTTGATGCTTAGCCTGCCAAGTGTTGGGATCACAGCCTGGCCAGCTGTCACTTTTAAGTGCTGACTATGTGCTGTGAGTTGGGTTAACTTGCTCTCGGTGACCCAGGTGTGTTATCTCTGCTTTAGAGATGAGAAAACCAAGTCTTAGGGACCTGTTGAGGTGCCTCTCCAGAGCCACACAGGAGGAGTGAGCTTAGGCATTAAATGGGCCTAGAGCCCCCAGATGGCCTCAGATAGAGCTCCCTGGACAGTAAGGTGCCACGGGTCTTGTTTATCTTAATCCTGGCTTTGGATTTTCTTCTGTTGGTTTGGCTTCAATCAAGGTGTGTTCTGGCCCCCAGTCAACACCCAGGTCTCTGGTGCAAAGGACTAATACCTGTGTTGGGTAGGGACAGCAGAAGATGATACAAAATGCATCCCAGTATGATGGGGGAGTTGAAGATCCTTAGAGAAAATATCCATACAGAGACCTAACCAGGCCAGAGAGGTGTGGACCAGTGAGCGCGAATCACAGCCCCCCACCTCTGCCAGGTGCCCCCCCACCTCTGCCAGGTGCCCCCCCACCTCTGCCAGGT